CAGGTCAGTGTTGAAATTGCTTCGCGATAAGTAGATGATGCATTGCCTGCCGACGGGCAGCTGGTTGTCCGCCGTTACCTGGCCTGGTGAGAGGTCTCCAACAAAACATTCAAAACACTTGCATATGTGGTTAGTTTGCTCTACCCAGCGTGTTGCAGATTGCCATGTGTACGGCTTTGTAATGCTGATAATTCAATATAGTAGGATGTACCGGATAAAAGGCGACATCAAGAAATACAGGAATACATGACACTTCTAACGGCGCATCCCATGCAAACTGAAATGTGCGGGAAATTATGCCTCCTTAGCCCGTTAGCCTTAAGCAATTGCTTTGATGACAAGTGTCTTCACCTCACCCCCGAAACATAACATCACGTAAGATCACAGTGACGGAAAAAAAATACCACACGTATCCTTATTGTAGAAAAAAAACGTGACTGCGTAAAATTTGCCCTCGTTATGAGCAGGAAAGGCCTCGAGCCCCGTGGCCGAAGGCTCAGAGCACTCTAGATGCACTCAAAGCACGCTGGACGCCAATTAATAAAAACATCTTAAAAGAGTACGGTTCGACATTACCGTGGTCTGAGCAAGCGCTAAGGTGGATTATCTCTCTCTTTTTGTTCTGCTTGGACGATTAGACGTCCATTGTGAGAGCTCGCTGTGTCAGTGGTGCCAACTGCAGCTGCGATTGGGCCATTGTGGAATGAGCCTTTGTGAGGACCAGGTATGTATGTACCTGTGAGAGGCCCTGATGGCATGGGAATAAGAGAAGAACTATCATTTCCTTAATTTTGTGATGTGCTGAATGAACCAATTCAATGACAATGCTACTTGACTGCCTTTTGTTTATCTCTGTCGCTGAGGAGTCCAAGGATGTTCAGCTGAGACAATAAAATGCTCGTAATGTTCCACTCCAAGATTTAAGCGACAAAACATCGTAGGTTGCCTTGCTACACCTCATATACACCACAATTGTTAGGTAATTCCGTGGTTGCGGCCTAAACATACGATCGCGATATGGGCCGGTAATTAGTAGTAAAAATTGTTTGGGGTTACTGGGTTACTCATACGATTCAGTGTTTTAAGCCACGTTGCCTGCCCGGATATTGGTTTGACTTTTCATTCCGAGCCGTGGCTATATCCTTGGGGCCGGAAACAACTGGAGCCCGACGCGCTACAATCAGCGCCCTCGTGGTTCAAATTGTTCTGTTTATTGCATACGATTCCATGTGAATCGTGAAAAAGTGAGATAGCAATAGGTGTGAATCAATGTGAATCGATGTGACCGAATGAATGTAGGGATGCGAATCGATCCAAACCGAAGTGCCCTACAATCCTATGCGCGCAATGCAAAATCCCACATGAACAAAACACTCTCCCTTTAACCCACACCTCCTGGTGTGCTGAAGGTCGATAACCGTCAACATAACCACTCTGATAACTGTCAACATAAGAATCACTCAAAATGCCGAAAAACAGGACCTTAAAACCCTTCATGGTTACAACATGATACAGATTGCGCACATACGCCAACATTTTTTTCAATACGATTACCTCATTTCTATCCCGACAAAATGCGCTGATCTCATGTCGCTGCGACGCTAGGGTACGCTAGTACGGTTCGAGCCGCGCGTCATCTGCGTCCCAGGGACGTCCCATCCCCTCTCCCTCCTCCTCCCCTCCTCCCCGCCGGGGAGTCATTCTCCCCACAGAGCGGCGGCATCGTTGGGCAGATGTGTTTGTTCCGGAGGGAAGAAGAATGGTCGGACCGCTTCTCCGCCACAAGGTCTTCAGCATCAGCCAGATTTACTGCCGATTTTCGGCGATGAGATTGAAACAGTCAGTGGATAGGAGACGTACGGCATAAATAACATACGAATTGTTCTAATGCTTTGCAAGTCAACATTTGAGCGAGCGTCATTATCCAAAGATAGCATCCATAATTTGTTCTTTTTGTGGCCAACTTTTGACAGGACCTAACTAATAAATGGGTAGAAAATATATGGTACTGACTAGGGGTGTAGTTTTCAGTTTGGATGGGGCTGCCCCCCCCCCCCCTCCCCCATCCTAGCATCACTGTTGAGTGCATTTTGGGGGGGGGAAGCTTAATTTTTGTTTACAGGACATCTCTCGACGTGTTTTGCTAAACCACGCTCTTGATACAAATGGGAATTAAAAAGAGCTCCAGTGCCTCCTAAGTCAGACAGGAAATCAGTGGCGATGAATGTCGCACCTAAATGCACATCCTACCGTGATATAGATTAACGAAAAACCTCGACAAAGGTCCGGTTGTCCCCCGCTCCCAAAGTGATAGACCATTTGAAACGGTAGCAGCCAACGAAGACGGCATAGAAACACTCATTAAACACGGGTCCAAAGGCATGACGTCTTAAACTAAGACCCAAAACACGGGTCCAAAGTCGTGACTTCTCAAGCTAAGACCCAAAACACGGGTCCAAAGTCGTGACTTCTCAAACTAAGACCCATAACACGGGTCCAAAGCCGCGACGTCTCAAACTAAGACCTAAAACACGGGTCCAAAGTCGTGACGTCTCAAACTAAGACACAAAATACGGGTCCAAAGTCGTAACTTCTCTAACTAAGACCCAAAACACGGGTCCAAAGTCGTGACGTCTTGAACTAAGACCCAAAACACGGGTCCAAGGTGGTGACTTCTCAAACTAAGACCCAAAACACGGGTCCAAAGTCGTGACTTCTCAAACTAAGACCCAAAACACGGGTCCAAAGTCGTGACGTCTCAAACTAAGACCTAAAACACGGGTCCAAAGTCGTGACGTCTCAAACTAAGACCTAAAGCACGGGTCCAAAGTCGTGACTTCTCAAGCTAAGACCCAAAACACGGGTCCAAAGTCGTGACGTCTCAAACTAAGACCCAAAACACGGGTCCAAAGTCGTGACGTCTCAAACTAAGACCCAAAACGTCACGGCGCGACAATATGCGGAATAATTTGAACCACGAGTGTGCTGTTTGGAGCGCGTCGGGGTTCAGCCCCAGCCCCTTCCTGCCCCATGGATATAGCCAAGGCTCAGAATGAAAAGTCAAACCAAGATCTGGGCAGGCAACGTGGCTTAAAACACTGTTATAACGGTAAAAGTGCAAAAATATGGATGAAACGAGCACATAGGGAGGGACGAACGTTCAGTCGGGAAAAATGGGAGTTTATATGCCTCCCGATGGGTTAAATTCATGCTAATTGCCAGGGCAACTTGGTGCCGAGAATCCGCGCTGGAATCAGGGACCCGTTCATAACAACGTATCTACAGCACAACTGAGACATCCGCCATACAGCGTCATCCAGACGCACAATACCGCGCACAGCCCAGCACAGTGGTGACGCTGCAGCACTCCACGTGCAGACAAGTGGCTGACCCATGTCCGACGCTCCACTGCGGAGGGGAAGGGGGAGAGGGGGCTGGCACTCACCCTCGGGCGATGTCGTAGACGGTGTACTGGGCAATGTACGAGTGGCGAAACTTCTGAAACAGCACACCACCTCGTCAGTCGGCAGACAGTGCGCGCGGCGCGTGCTCTGCCCGCAGCTGGTACCGGGCAAAAGTGTATTCGGGACGTGTCGGTCAAGGTCAGCACGGATCAGCAGGAGTGGGAGGTGCTCAACACGGGTCAGGAGGAGTGGGACGTGTGGGTCAAGGTCAGCACGGATCAGCATGAGTGGGACGCACCGGTCTCGGTCAGCTCGGATCAGTGGGAACACCACACGGCAATTACGGTCAACACGGGTCATGAGGAATGGTACGTGGCGGGCAAGGTCAACATGGATCAGCAGCCGTGGGATGCGGGGGTCACGGTCAAGATAGGTCAGAAGATACAAAACGCGACGGTCACGGCCAGCCTGGGTCAGCAGGAGTGGGACATGGCGTTCAAGGTCAACATGGGTCACCTTTGTGGGATGGGGCGGTCAAGGACAGCGGGAGTTAGTAGCAGTGGGATGGAGTGGTCGCAGTCAGCAGGGATCAGCAGGAGTGGGGCACAGCGGTCAAGGTCAGCAGGGGTAAGCACGGGTGGGACGCAGCGGTCAAGGTCAGCAGGGTCAGCCTCAGTGAAGAGACGCGAGCGCGAAACGGAATGCGTGGACCGTTATCGCCATTGACAACTCCTAAACGTCACCAAGAGAGCTGGGCCGGCCACATCAGTCATGAAGTCATCAAAGATGATCTTGTGGTGAGTTATGATCGTTCTCGCATGAACGCATACCTGAAATGTCCTATGTCGGGATATGTTGTAAACATGCTAAGTTATCATGCAGGTTACAGTCCCACTGATCCCTGCACAGGCCTACAATAATACTCTGTCGACAAAAACAGACGAACAGGATCCCGTACAGAGTTGCTATTGATCACGGCATGATCGACAACTTGATCTGACACCATCTAGAAGAGCCCCACGACAGCGTGGCTTCGGCCTTTTCTGAGCCGTAACCAATCCCATTGAAAAGTTTAACGTTAATCAACTTAGCTGAGGGTCACAGAACGAAGGGTTTGTCGCAGAGGCGTATCTATCAACACCACCCTCCAAGCAGTTAATATCATTTATAGGCGGCCCAGAGCCAGCTAAACTTGCGTGAGCACTCTCCCCGGCAACACAAAAAGCTTACGGCTTCCAGAGTTGGTCTCACTGATGCAGTAAACAGTAATCTGCTGACTGGTCCCAGCCATAAAGCGCATATCACAAACGGACTGGCCAATACCAGCGCCAAAGTTTTCTGACTCTTCACCATAAGCCTGAGCACCGAAAGCGAGTACGAGCAGACAATAAAAACGAATTGCTCCATAAAGATACACCAGGATATGGGTCAGCAGTCAGCTTTAAGTTTTTCACCTCTGTAGTCCAGTTGGTGGGACTCCGCAAGCGGTTAATAGATGGCATAGGCATCTGGGTTTCAGCCACAGAAATCGCACCTAGGCGGCTCGACCTGAACAATCGCCCGGAAATGAGTAAAACCGGCCGGGCTTAAAGGGGGGCGGGGGACAGCCGTACCAAGACATTGAGTGCAACGCCAACCCTTAAGAAGTGGTTCGTAAGGCTACATTGCTCTGCTGGGGTGATGACGCAGCTTATGCAGCCTGATATATGCTCGGCAAGAGCCGGGATACCAATCCGATCGTTACAACTGATGTGGTGTTGGCGGTTCCAGGAATGTAGCCATGAGATGGATGGGACCATTTTCTCTGCGCGCCTGCGACACAGCGACCTATACTACTTCTAATTTCGAGCCGTCCTGCTCCGGTAACCGAACTGCTTCAGGTCTTGCGTCGTCCAAGAAAGTATGCTTGAGTTGAGTATTACACAGATTGGACAGGCTCTCCTAATTCAGTCGAATTTCTTTTATTTTTCCCGTAAGTTGCTCCTACGCAGTGATAATCGCGCTAAGTTTCTGCCTTTGCATAGTGCCTTTGGCAGGCGAGTATCATGCGGTAGTGCTTTCATTACAGTGCTGATCAAGTGCTTGATGGAGGCTAGTCAGTTGATATAAAAATGTCGTTCATCTTTCAGTCGCCGGTAAAAATGTCCATATGCTTAACCACAAATAATACTGCTTCAATTTCACACCAAGGCATGGATGATCTTGGAAACTATTCATTAGAGTTATCGATGTGATCAATCTCAACAGGCACCTACCATTTGTATCTAAGGCAAAAACGCAAAAGCCAAAACACCAAAAACAAAGATGTAAAACCAAAAACATGGATGATCTCCGCAGAAAGCGATTAAACTCATCGACATTTCCAACCCAAGTAGGCGCCAATCGCTTGTACTATGGGCCTAATCATCTCAACTTAGTTAGGTAGTGCTTATGTCAGTGTCTAGGACGCCCCCCCTGCCCTCCAACCCCACCGCCCCCAACCCATTCTACTCCGGCGCCAGGCGCTCTCGGAGGATGGACTAAGGCGAGAAAGGGCCTTACGTGGCGTCACATCGAAAGAGAACACAGTGCAGGGGGCATTTCGCTTTCAGCACTCCCAGAAGTACCATGCCCTGCATGTACATGCAAATGAGTCCTCAAAAAGCGACTGATGACCTAGGAGGAATACAAACCAAATAAAGGTTAAAAATTACCGGAGCCAGCAATATAACTAAAAAAAACTGCACAGCTGTTTGCCAAAAGCCTATCAACTGACACATCGCGCGGGTGCCCACAACGCTTTTCACGAGCTACACGTACCTGGCGGACGTTGTGGGCCAGGAGGACGTACTGCTGGTCAGATGAGACCCAGAAATGCCGCACATTATGCTGCCTCTGTGAACGAGGAGGCACACACCTGTACGAGGTCCGGTGACACGCCGTCATCCCATTGCACTGCCGGCAGTCGGTACATGTCAAAAAACGCCTCGGGTTCGCAGCCAACGCTTAACAGAGAAAGTGGCTATCGTGCTTATATATCATACTCTGTTGCACACAAATTTTGTATAGATATAACTCGAGCATGCACGTTGAAATCACATTGCCACGCTGCTTAACCCTGTGCATGCTGAGAATACCACTGAAGATTCTTGGAGCTCGGGAGGTCGGTGTTAGCTGAGTCATGACGAAGTCGAAGAAGGGTCAGGCGTAAAGCGTACGTAATAATTTGGAGCCCGAAAAATGGCCTGGACCTTCTGCTGCAATGAATAACACCCTCCAACGGCTGAGAATACTGCCCGAACAAGGTCATGTGGACCATTTGCAGCACAATACGAGGACCGTCAATATTCGGTCTGCATAAGCATCAGCTGCATGACGTCATTTCCTTCGGGCGATATGGTAGGCTCAGAGCTGTCGCTTCTGCAGGCTCGGAACTGTCGACACACGCGATCTAACGTGCATCGCTCAGCGGGATCTCGTGACTAGGAGCAACGGCAGCGTCATGCATTTCATGAATACAATACAAGCGCATCGACATTAATCACCAGTGAATTAATCAACACTATGCTTAGCAGCAATTTACTGTGCAACGTCTATAATGAACGATAGCACGAGACACCCCATGTTTCTGCATGCGATTTTTTTCTTGCAAGAGCTACATTGTAGCAAAGCGTGGCTACATGGAAAGACCAGACTGCTACCGATTAAAATTTCATCGTGTTGTGTTAAGCTTTATCGGTTTGCCAAGATGGAATACCGCTTAAATACAAGCAACGTATGGCCAAGCAGTCAAAGGTTGCTTGGAAACAAATCAAATAGCGATACATATGCACTGTGATGAAGAAAGGAGAGGCGCTACGTCGGAGCTGCAAGCTAAGAGTTGTTTAAGACTCATGGTGATAAATCGGAGCCTGGCAGGGATTTAGATGGACACAAAGCAGTGAGAGGAAGTCTACTTCAGTCAGCCACACACGAAGCATGGATTGTACTAGTTTCGATCCAACGATCAGCAGCAGTTCCGCATACCACCTTGTTCTCAGACTAGATTTCTTCAGTTTCCAAATGCCTCGTGACTGGCAAACATTATGCACTGAACAAAACCCGCTGGTTGCTTGCAGGCAAGGGTGTCAATTTTTTAGATTAGTTCCAACCTTTTGAGTGGATGAGTTTCTGGGATCAGAGTCAGTTTCTTTGTTCAGCAATATAGCTCGACGTCCGCGGCTTCAGCCCGATTGCGCCCAGGGAATCTAAGTTCGGCACGCCACCATTTCGATCCTGCCTCAACTCGCATACTTTATTACGGCATATTGCGTCAGATAAACGGCACTCGAGTCGACTCGAATCTATTCTGAATAAGAAATGGAATTCAGTTGGTCTGGTGGACACTCGACAAAATTCGTGAGGTAGGGAGAGAGGATTGAGCTGGAAGGCGATGGATTAAACGGTCCTGAATTCAGGGATATCTCAACATCATTAGTTTTATTTACGCACAAAACGGGCGAGTTGGGAGCTTAGAAAGACGCAGCGGAAAGTGGCATTTGACATCGCACAAACACACAGCAGAGTGCAACCATCCTTTAGCAATTATCAGCTCCAAATCTCGCACCCGTCCATTGCGAAAAACACGGGGCGTGCAATATACACGGACGTTTTCACACAAACTCTCCAGATTTCACAAACGTCTCAGGAGATGGCCGCATCAAGTGCCTTCGACAACCTCGTCGGCGAATGTATATCATTTTCGCCATTTTCCACTTTGCCTAGCCCCCACGTCGAATCCGATTTCGATGATTTACTTCGCGTCCTCGCACTCTTCCGGAGCTTGAGTACCGGAGATTGGCCTGATCAAAACAAGCCGCAAAAAATTCAAACGACGGCACCATTTTGACGCCCGGACCATCCTCAATGTAGAGCAGCACAGACCATCCTCTATGTAAAGCGACTCAGACCATCCCCCTTGTAAAGCGGGGGAGGTTTTCAGGCATCGATCAATCAAAAAACATTCTTCATGGAAATCGGTGATTTTAAACTGAACCATCTTGCGCCATGCCATACTTAGGGGCATGGCAAATATGTATGACCATGGCCGTGGAATGGCGTGGACCTGTAGGGGCTCCAACGTGCGACTCCAGGACGCATCGCGGCCTGTGCTTTGTACTGGCCGGCCTCCGCGCCACCCGTGGACTTACCAGGATAACACGTAATGACAGCATATTTTATGACGGGACAGAAGTTATGCGACAGATTATTGCCATGTCATTAATCATTGCTAGAAAAAAATGGCTCGAGTATTTCACAGTCAACTGGGGACACATTCTACCCAAGATGCAACTCACAGGTATAGACTGTCCCGTATACCGATGTGCACAGCGGTGCAGTCTACCTTTATGAAGCGCCGAATGAGGGGAACCAAACATTCGGCGACCTCTGAGAACAGGGATCCTCATGGGAGAGGAATTCCTTTACCCAATCCACCCCGCTGCCCATTCAAATTTAGTTGTGTCCAACTGTTTCTCAACCGTCGAGTTTTGGTCGGCACTTAAGTTAAGTTACGGAAACATTTCAGGGAATATTAGACATGTACATACTATTTCGCAATGGCAAATACTTAAGCAGTTTGAAGAAAGCTCGATTTGAGTAAAAGAAGCGCAAATGGCAATAGCATTGTGTAGCATTTCCTGAAGCTTTTACTCGACACATCGTAAATATCTTACCCCAACCTTGACTAATTACCGTAATTTCCCAAAATCTGCGACCAACCCACTCCGTCGCCCATTTCATATTGGTGCTCGTGGGTCTACCGAGCCCATGAAGTACTCTAGCTGGGACCCAATACAATGCAATGCATTCAACCTTTCGACGTCCAACTATCCATAGCTTCCAGCAAGCCGTAGCCATGTGATCACCACAGCACACGACGAGTATGCCTGCCTTTCCCAATGGCTCGCCTAGCGAGGCACACACAGTCTCGCTCGGCGGCGAGGCGCGACTCGCGTGTCCCGCCTCGGCTCGTGTGTCAGTCTGGAGGCGCGTTACATGGCGGCGGCTCGTGACCTGTATTTGGAAGCGGTGCCGCGCTCGTCCCAGGCTGGACGTGACGTCTCCGGAGACCGCCTTGCGACCAGCGCACGAGCCAGCCCCGAACACGGTCATCAAACATTGACGACCGATGCTCTGAAATCGGCCGGGTGCGGCGCTGCACCCTGCGGAGAATGGACGGCACGGTGCACCGCGGCAGAGGGCGGACGGCACGGGGCACCGCGGCAGAGGGCCAGACTGCGCAGCAGACCACGGCAGAGTGACAGACGGCACAGCGGGCCACTTCCACCACACCGAGATCAGGTTACGGCGCAGTCACGTGACTATTCTTGGTCACGCTATTTTCGACTGCGCTGGGAGTCGACGCAGCGCGCTATGACATGACGTTAAGGTTTTAAGTCATTTTTTAAATATTTAAGAATGCTCCCGAAAATAGTTGGCGTATATAAGGAAAGAAAAATTTCTCCAAATTTGTAAATCAGTGCTTGTGAGCCGAAACACATCAGATTGGTGAGGAGTGTTTCCGCATTTTCACGATATTCCGATCACTTAGCGGTAAAAATACTCCCGGCTGTTCGTAACAAGCCCTGCGTCGACAGGTTTTCATACTCTGTCTGATTTCAGCGCATCAATCGCAAAGTATGCTTGTTTCCGATGAATGCCGTTAGAAAGGTGAGTTCACGGTAAATGGACGGACTACACAGCGGGACACATTAGAGGGACGAACTGCACAGCGGACCGCGGTAGAGAGGTGGACTTCACAGTGGGACACATTAGAAGGATGGACTGCACAGCGGACCACGGTAGAGAGACGGACTTCACAGTGGGACACATTGGAGGGACGGACTGCACAGCGGACCGCGGTAGAGAGACGAACTTCACAGTGGGACACATTAGAAGGATGGACTGCACAGCGGACCACGGTAGAGAGACGGACTTCACAGTGGGACACAATAGAGGGACGGACTGCACAGCGGACCACGGTAGAGAGACAGACTTCCCAGCGGGACACATTAGAAGGTCGGACTACACAGCGAGACACATTAGAGGGACGGGCTGCACAGCGGACCGCGGTAGAGAGACAGACTTCACAGTGGGACACATTAGAAGGATGGACTGCACAGCGGACCACGGTAGAGGGACGGACTTCACAGCGGGACACATTAGAGGGGCGGACTGCACAGCAGACCACGGTAGAGGGACGGACTGCACAGCGGGACATATTAGAAGGACGGATTGTACAGCGGGCCACATTAGGAGCGGACTGCACAGCAGACCACGGTAGAGGGACGAACTACACAGCAGGCCGCATTAGAGGGAAGGACTGCACAGCAGACCACGGCAGAGGGACGGACTGCACAGTGACATCCCTGCCAAACGTATCACTAAATGCATCGCCAAAAAAAAACGCAGAAAGCAGCTTACTAGACGCTTTGGCCGCTGCCGGGGCGCAGCGACTGGCCACCGCGTACTTACGAAGGTGACGTTGCTGACCAGTGTGCGAGTGGCCAGACTCTCGCAGTCGAGCACGGAGAGGCCGCCCCACATGTCCCGGTACACCAGCTCGTGATCTGCCGACATGGTCACATGTTAGGCCCGCACGGACACCGGGCCCAGGCGGTCGCCCGCCGCTGCACCTGGCCAGCGTGTCAGCATCGCGTCCGCACAGCGAGTCACCAACGGCCCAAACAGCAGTCACCGGTCCGCCTACACCGCAGGGCATTACCCAACTCGAACGGCAGGTCACCACTCCACCCACAAGGCCGGTCACCGCCCCTTCCCGGTCACCGCCCCTTCCTGACAGCATGCCATCACTCCGTCCTGTCAGCAGATCACCGTCCGCGCCGACATCAGGTCGGTTGCCTGCCTTACTCGGGTCGGCTCGCTGAGCGACACAATCACCGCCGCGATAAATCCCGCTGCCGGTCGACAAACATGTTTGCGCCGCATTGGACAGCTTTGCGGCCGGGGTCCGGGAGCAGCACAGATGTTGGCCGGCCCGCCACCCACGCGCCGCCCGCTCCTCAATTATGGACGGGCCGCTGCGCCTCCAACGATCGGGAAATAGACAACAGGGCGTGTAGAGATAAACAAGCCGGCGGCGAGTGCGCCATCGCCGACACTGAGCTCATAGAAATGATCAGGATCCGTGACCCTCGGGACAGTTGCAACGTCAGGAATTTGATTATGTCGAGACAAGCCGATGCTGGCAAAGAACACTATTTCGAGCATGGCTTAAAGTAAGACATTATTTAATCTCGAGGATTCCGACAATTCCGTGCATGCGTGGCAGTGCGTAGTTACCCAAGTAACAGTTATTGGTCGTTTTGGCGCAAAAGAATTAAGCAAGCTCATATATTAATTTGGAGCAGGAATGGAGCACATTTGAAAAACTCAAATAACCTTAAGAGTAACCTAACATCAACAAATGGAGTGAGGTGCCACGAGACCCGATGACCATGGAATGGAGGCAAAGTATCTAAGCTCAACCAAATCCCGCAGACCGCTGTTGCTTAAGATGACCATCCCTTGCGATGGATAAACTCCACGGCATGGATTATCTGCTATGTGTGAGAAGATGCTCCACCCATCCATCCGCTGATGCATCGGCAGATCTCACTAAATACCATTCTCGAATTATCCACGTGGTCATGGTCACTTAATCGCAGCATAAACAACGAAAGCGCCTTTAGCTCTTCGCTATCTGACAGCCATGGCAGCCGCGGGGATTGGGCCAACCCAAAACATTTCACAGCAGTATTTTCTAAAGGGAATGAATCGAACCTTACGATCAAAACGTCGATTTAGCAGCAACTGACCTTAGTTTTCAAAACGCCTCACTAATCTAGAGAGCGGGCTCTCCCTCGGGTCCATCTGCCGTCATGCGGGCACAGCTGCAGTGACGTAGCCCACCACGCGTTCCGTGGTGGGGCTAAAATGTCACACCGATATTGCGCGTACCGAGTTAACTGCTGGCAAAAATACAGCTACTTTATGAATCATGGGATGCCACGACGCTTTATTTCTCGGTTGCTACAACATCACCCGACAGGCTAGCCATCTGTCATAATAGGCACTCGGGTGGACGGGAACCCTGAGGGTTTTTCCAAAATGATTTCCGAACGGCGCGGCGAAGCCGCGTCAAATTGTGCACAGCTGTAGACAACTGGACCGTTTGGCATCAAAAACTTAGATGCACCTTGTAAGGCCGTTGACCTACGGCAGGTCAAAGTTATTCCATGAATTTAGCAAAGATAATTTCTGGGAATCGTTTAATCTGATGCAGCAACGGAGCGTTAGGCGAAGCAATACATCTCTGAAATAGTTTCCTAGGCAACACAACAATTAAATTAACCAATTCCATTGACCAAAAATTAACTATGAGGGTCAGATCAAGGTCAAAACCAGCCAGGCTTTTTAACTCGGGTTTGCTGAATGAGGTAGTTTTTGGAACTTATTTTGATTTTATTGATGACAGGAACGGCGTTATGCATCTTCTACGGGCTTCTCAAAGGACAGAATAGGTCGCTGGCTTAAAATCACCCAGGTCAACGTTTTGTTTTTAAGAACATATTATCTAGCATAATCCTTGACATTTGTCCAAATGCAAAAAACAACGCAGCCCCTATTCTTTTGGTCACCTTCGAAAGGTCAAGAAGGTCACTGACCTTTAGTAAACAACGGTGATCCTTTGCTACGAATATGTATCTAGGTGCATGGCGGTTACATGAGAACGTCTGGGAGCACTTGTACTCCAATCTGGTATTTCACCTTGTTTGAATTCATCTAACCCGAAGGTCATTACCTACGAACCTTAAATTTCTACACAAGTGAGCTCACGTACAGGCCAACCCGGCCTGTGAACTTAGTATTTCTAGCTTTCTTATTTTCTTAAATCTGAGGGGTCAAATTGTGACCTCACCAGGGCGAAGGATATTCGGCCGGCCGCCCGAGCAAGTGTTGATGTGGTATCAGAGGCGTAGGTTCCCAACATGAGTTTGGGACTGATAACTGAAAAACAAAACAACTAACCCAAAAACGGGTTTCTCACCGGATTTGACCCACTTTGTTCTCAAGGTAAGGAGAGCTTGGCTTGGAATCCAGGTTGGGGGGGGGGGGGAGCTGAAACCCCTAGACTGAATAAAAAGCCACACCCATGGTTGGTATGCGTTGAGAGCGTAACGTCGATAACATGCGGAGCAGCACGCGCCACTTAACTTACTTCATAATGGCAAAGTTATCACATCAACGACCGTCACGTTGCATTCATATTTAATCTAATTCATATTTAATAGAGACAGTCGCGTTGCAGTACGGTGTTTTGTCGGTGTTTTCGTTTTGTTACTTCCTGTCAATTATTTCTTACCAGCATGAGATGGCGGTACAAAAGTTGTGCAAGAAACTAGAGCTTCACAAGAGTTCTCCCGATTTATTCTAGGTTTCGCAATGGAAAACCACCCCAATCGCCGTCATGAAATCCCAACAATTCAGCATAAGCTCACATTAGTCAGTACAAACCATCACAGCGTTTCGGGAGGACATTTGAGCAGTTCACCAAGAACTTTCAGTCTTATGCCGCCTCACACGGACTAAAAATGTCAGTGTGAATGCCAGGCAATTAACAGCAGAGTAAAGTTTTTCCACAGAAAAATAGTCCTCATCCTAATTCGCAGTTTTTTACAACGCCGAATGTTAGAGGGGGGGGGGGGGGCGTGCACCCTGTTGCCACTTCCCCACTAGAAAGACAGAGCTTAACGGAAAACGCCAGTGCATTGTGTCAGCGAGATGCTGCGATTGTTGACGTGTTGTATGTTCATATGTCAATAATTGATCCCACTATGCCAGGTCATTGATCAAATTTCCCTGAAAATCTATCTTTTCAGCTCTACATGCTCATATGTGCGAGACGATATCCGCAGCAAAAAAAAAAAAAAAAAAATAGGTGTGCTCTTGGTTTAATCCTGAGTACAATGACACGTAGTTTTGTATGCTTTCCACATATGTTTATGATGCAGGGCTCCACTGATGTAACGGTGGCGGCCTGCCTCGCTCGGCCCGCGGACTCTTCGGTTGCCGCCCGCCGCTTGCGCCGGCCGTAGATCGCCGTCCATTGTTTCTCCGTCGCTACTCAGACGACAGAAATGACAGGGACATGACGTTGGCGTCAAAACGCGCGCAAGGAGCTCCTCAGAGGCTAACTAAAATCTGGGCGCGATTTCGTGACGCGCCGGAGAGGTATTCTCAGATAATCTTATGGGGGCATATCGACCTTCCTATTGAGGTGAATGTTAAAGCGTGTGGAAGTTCGGTATGCATGCCAATGTCAAACATGGCGATGAGCAGCGACTATGCACCAGCTCTAGCTTTATGATTTACAGACTATCCTGAATCAGTTTTTAATTAAATGTGATCTAAAACTTCTGTTGTGAATGCGATACATCGCCGACATTTTCGGCCTATTGACACATGGATTGAGCCCAATGCTGTTTTTGCACTCAACACCGCCACGTAATTCCCTTCAGTCTGGCACACAACGCACAAAACGTGGTAATTCCACTGAAAGCTATGCAGCATATCT